AAATATCCTGATATTATACCCTGAAATTATATGAAAATCTGAAGAACAACTCCATAATGAGCTGTGAGCAGCTTGTGAGGGAAACGAAACACCACAAGGTGTTGATTTCCTCTTTGATCGTTTAGTAAAGTTTGTGTGTGCAGATGTCACCTTTGCTTAACATAATAAGGATATTTAACATAGGCCCCAGGCAAATCAGCAAGTTTAACGATGACACCAAATATAGACCTGCAGCTGATAAGTGAGAGAACGAAGGTGGGATGGAGGAAAGGTGTTGATGAGGCGGATGACAAATTACAAAGAGGAAATATGACAGAAAACGAAAGGGGTGTTAACAGTGGCATAGTGCTACTCTACCAACTGCACTATTCTCTAATGCTGCTTTTCAACTGTAGCACCAGTATTACACTAGTGTATACACCCTTATGTTATACTCTGGAAATTGTTCCATAGCTAGGGCTGACAGTGGGGACTTGTGAAAATCAGAATCAACAACCTCTGCATAAATAAAAACAGTTTATTTGTGAAAAGGTGTTAAAGTTCACAGTTAGCCATTGTTATGTAAAATGACAGCTGAAAAGTACCAGTGGCCTGGCTTTGGCCCCAAGTGAGAGCAAGGCCGCCGGAGCCATGGCCCAGTGAGGCACGGGTGCCGGCCCGCGTAACTGGAAACAGACAAGTCTGAGCCTTTTGGGTAAAACACTAGCGTAAATCCTGTATGGAAATGCACCATAAGTCTGACCTTACGCTATATACTGGTCATGTGATCATCCTCTCCAGCTGACCTCTGATATAACTGGACTTTGTAAATAAAACAAAGATGAGCTTTGTAAACTGAAAAGTCTAAAACTGAAAGCACTGCCCACATAATTGGGGATAAGAGCGGTTACTCTCTGTATTTTTGTGACTTGGTTGTCAAGCTGTAGAGATCACCTGGTAGCTTGACCCCTCGCCCTCTGGCAAGAGTAGAAACCTGTCAGTTAAGGTCAGGAAGATGGGACAGGAGTTAGGAATGTAGATGCACCACATCTTTCAGGAGTGAAGTGCAGTGTACATTGTAGGTGTATAATGTGCCATGGATGTTAGTAGTAAACAAAACAACGTGATATGATTCCAGGCCTAAACTAAGGGACAGAAAAGTGTCAGGAAGTAAAGTGACATGGCTAGAAAACATAATAAAATACATTTCTTAGAAGGATCATAATATACCTTTTAGAGAGGTCCATCAGAACCCCGGAGAAGATTTTCTTGCCTAACCGAAAGGACACCACCAGTGCGTCGTCTATAATGTGATCCAGAGATACTCGAACCTCGGACCCAGGTATCAGGTTGTCCACTGACTCGGCCTGTACATCCCCAGTTTCAGCACCGGACACAGCGGGAGAAGGTTTCGATACTGGATCGCTTTCATTGAAGTTCGTTTCGAACCTCTGTGGTGAGCGCGAGTCTCCCAGTTCTGCCAAGGTGGGAACCGGGTCCACTGGCATTACAGGAACCTCGGGTCTCGGAGGGTTCTGGGTTGTGATGCTCGAAAAGTCACACATGTAACCAGTCTCCATGGGTGTCCCAATGACTGTCTCCCTCTCTAGAATCGGTAGAGAGTCGACGTGGTCTATGGACTGGGGACGTTCAAGCGAAGCAGCTTCCGAGGAGTCGTCGTTCTTGTACTCGGAGCCAGAAGGAAATTCATCTGCAGGTTCAGGATCCAGTTCAGCCTCGTGAGACGGTTTAATTAAAGCTCTATAGTCACACTCGATACTAGTAGGTTGGGTTAATTCTGGGTTCTGATAGTAATCGATAATGGGTTCTGCTGGTTCTGCTAACGACAGCCCAGCCTCCGTTGCTACAGGTTGCGCAGGGAACGAATGCAAAAAGACCACCGATGGCTGTGAATCGGAGATTGAGCTATTCTGAAGGCAGGCGTAGGGCTCGTGCTTACTGACCTCGTTTGCAGGTTCAACATTTGGCGAAAAAAACTGTTTCAAACGTTCTGCCCTCGACATGGTGTATTTCGAACCATAGCCCTCACGAGCATGGTTCTCGGTTTTTTCTACGCCGACCCCGAGACAGCCTGCCTCGATGTGTTCATCCTCTGCACGAGCAGCGAGGGCTTTTCCCGCTGCTTCTAGGTCTGGCCTGCTCACTAGCTCCATTTGGACCTGGCTGCATTCCTGAACTGCATCCCCATCCTTGAGTTGGTGAACAAGGTCCATTACTGGTGCGTACTCCTGCGTCGCATCGGAGTCGATTTTGGCCCCCGGCACCGGTTCGTAATCACCACCGTTCCCCGCTGTTGTTGTTGATGCCGCAATAGCTCCTGGCTCCGCAGCCACGGCCGCCATTTTCTTTCCGCTTTGCTTCTACGGCCAGGTCCTCTCCCTGTGATAGCGATAGAGCCCGCCCACTTGAAAGTCAAGACCACTTGGGATTGGCCAGCGAACTACAAAGTTGTAGTTGAGTGGTCAATGTCCACGTCATTCAACAGAAACCCCTGGAAACACTTTTGTAATTGGCTCCCTTTGTCTGGTTTTGTAAACATTTGCCACAAGGGGCGATATTGTATTGTATTTTAAGCACCAGCGATGTTTAAGCAGAGATGTTAGAAAATCTACAGTAGGCCCATTGACATTAGGACCTTTGTCTTTGGTTCAAACCTGGCCCAGTATCTGTGCGTTAGAGATATCTAACGCTCAGGAAGCTCCGATTCAAACTCCCAATAGACAGCTCTGCAAGCGTTTTAATGTCGCTGAGCAACTAGATCCATTTACTCCCATTACGCCTGTATGTACTTCTAAAAAGCTGTAAATAAACATTTACAAGCAACCGAAAAAAATGCTGCTTCGGCACCTCCAATGTATTGAGCTGTTGTAGACTTCTAACCTGTATTGGCAGTAATGAGTGATCAATTGGAGATGCCGAATAGGCATGTTTTCGGTTGCTTGTAAATTCTTATTTCGACCTGTTTTGGAAGTACATACCGGCCGTAACAGGCTTAAATTAAGATAGTTGCTCAGCGAAACTCAATATTTGGTGAGTAACGAACGTATTTTGACATTATAACGCTTGGAGAGATGTATAATGTGAGTTTGAATCGTAGCTTCCTGGGAGTTAGAGGATACCCGTCATACTCATAGTCGACATCTCTAACGCACAGATACTGGGCCAGTTCTATCCCTCCCTTCAAAAAAAGATTCAGGGCAAAATAAGTAAATGCTAATTCACCAGGAAGTGACTCTAGTATTAACTGAGAGCAAACACAATATACAGTAAATGCCTGCAATGACTGAGCAGCCTCGTCTTACTGTCCAAATGACAACAAATGGCTCAAATCCTTGCATAGCCTTCAGCTTCAAGATAACCGGGTGGTGCAAGGCTTTTCAAAGTCGTAGGCCACAATTGCAAATTTGAATTTCATTCTCTTATTTTCTCACATTCTTTTTATGTCTCTATAGAAACCCCATTTACCAGTAGGTCTATGTATGCTATAGTTTCTCCGTTTCTGAAGACAGGATCCAAAAACGAGGGGTCATTTCAATTCTACCATTTATGTCGTCTGCATAAAAGGTGTATCTGAATCGATCAATTGTAGAAATACAATGCAAACTACTGTATATCGCTCATCTGTATTATTCAATGGATACGGGATTTTTTTTTATAGCAGCTCTGGCTGTTGATCAAACTGATAGTGTTTGATCAACAGTGGTTCTTCTGAAATGCACTGTCAACGCATTTCAGCAGGAAATACCGTTGACTATCATATGGGGTGGATGGAAGATACATTATTTGACTAGGCAGCTGAACTACATTTTCAGTTGAGGAAATGTGGACATATTCAAATAGTTTATTAGCACTTTGCAAAGAAATCAGACCGATATAATCACGCCACAGATACTACACTGGAGTTTTATTATAAAACATGCAATAATGTTGGAGAGGGCAAATGTTAGGGCTGTGCAAAAGTGACATACTCCTTGTTGAAAGACCTTGCAGATATCACACTATGGAATATGAGAATACAGTATAGGCCATATTTTATGGACGAAGACATTAGTTGTGTCAGTTGTGTGAATTACAGATTATCAATAAGAGAGAGCACCCCTTTCGAGAGTCCCTACTTATAAAGATTACTTCTGATTTGTATGACATTTGGCGAGTATTACATTTGTCATTGGTAAGGGCACTTTGAAGTAGTATGGTGCGCTATAAAAGTTGATGTTTGACTGTGTTTTACGTTCTTCAAAATGATTCAACCCTGAGAGGGGAATAAAATGATTTAGCTCAGCGCTGAAGGACACTGTTGAGCATACAATCATGAAAGAGGTTTATGTTTTCTCATGGCATAGTACCACAACGACTCAAGTGATGAAATCAAAGGTGACACAGTATAAATCAATGAGTAACTGATACCCGAATAGATTTAGGGATTACTTCGTCTCACTTTTGTAAGCATTTCACATGAGCATAAAAAAATAAAATAACATGTATTAGAACATTACGTAATTCAAGGAATGATCAAAAATAGTAACCTATTGGGGCTGTGTGTCAAAATGAAGTTCTCATTACAGAACAGTGGCACCATCTCGTCAAGCACGTGAACAACATTTTCTGTTATTTTCTGCCCATACCATATGCACTGTGTAGCTCAACCACCTGTATTGTATAATTTATTACCCTGAAATTAATTTCGTAGTTAATAAAATCACATTGAGATTTTTTATATTACTATTTCTGCACACTATCTCCTAGATATCTTGTGATCTATGGGCCTCTGCACTGCAGAGAACTACTATCTCAAGACTATAGGAGTCACATAGCCTTTTACTGTAACTTTACTGTTGTTTAAGGGCTTAACATTCGGTGCAGTGGGTATTTCACCATACTGTAGTAGCCTATGTGGAAAGGTGAGTGACCCCATGGTCACCAGCTCTCTGATGACTCGCCATTTTACCAGGTAGCACCATAAAAGTTTATGGTGTAGTTATGGTAGTGCTGTACCCAAAGTGTCGTGAGAGATGGGTGGAGATGGTGACCGTGTTTATTTAAAGAGGGACAGGTTGTCACTCAGTACCTTACTCTTCCCTGCTTGCCTTGGAACTGATTTTCGCTCTCCTCTCCTCTCCTCTACCCATCAACTCTCTGTACACCATGGCCTTCGCTGGAAAGTGGGAAACTGAGACCCAGGAGGGATACGATGAATTCTGCAAGCTCGCTGGTAAGGCATTTACTTAAGCTTAATAGCCTAGAACCTATAAAAACCTAACTATTTGTCTTGACATCTTGAATTCACTTGGATTATGCAATGTATTGAAAGGGATGTATTCACATTCATTGGAGATTAGCAGTATCAGTGTGGAAAAATGACAGTGCTCAAACTGTGCTCACACATATGAGAATATGATTCAAAATGGCCTCATTACCCCCAGTCTAACTATATATTTTCTTGTAATCCAAGGCATCCCTGATGACATCATTGAGAAGGGTCGCGACTACAAGCTCATTACTGAGGTGGTGCAGAATGGCAATGAGTTCTCATGGTCCCAGCTCTATCCCACCAACAAGAGCATCACCAACAAGTTTGTAATTGACCAGGAATGTGACATGGAGACCATCGGTGGGAAGAAGTTCAAGGTAAACATCTCTATGATGTGTTATACAACTTTCAGTCTAGATCAGGAATTAGGGAGTTTTGTGCCTGTGTCTGTTGCGTAAGATGCTGTAGTATTTCAGACTCAAGTCTCATATAGTCACTATAGTCATCAGTCAGGGTCAATAGCCGTAAAGATGACATTCGGACAAGAGAGACAGTTACAGTGTGTATATTGACATTCAAATTCACATAATGAAATCTGCAGCAAGTGTGTCTAATGTTTTGGAGGGTTTGAATAGCAAAGTGAAGATCATAAGGGCAGCAGGTAGCCTAGCGGTTAAGCACGTTGGGCCAGTAAGCGAAAGGTCGCTGGTTCGACTCCCCGAGCCGACTAGGTGAAAAATACGTCGATGTGCCCTTGAGAAAGGCACTTGACCCTAATTGCTCCTGTAAGTCGCTCTGGATAAGAGCGTCTGCTAAACGTCAAAATAAATCTATGTCTAGGGGAACTTGGATGCATGTATTATAAACGACATCTAGATTAAACAAACTGAGGTTGTTGGTTGATATAAATTACAGTATGAATAAAAATCATTTTTGTGTCCATCCATTTCAGGCCACTGTTACAATGGAGGGGGGAAAGCTGTGCACGAAATTCCCCAAATACCACCACATAGCTGAAATCAGTGGAGGAAAGCTGATTGAGGTAAGAGTGGCACTTTGGCAGAAGATGGTGTATATTAGGAGAGAGGATAAAATATGTTTGGGCAGTTCAAGTGGTGTTTTACGTATTTTTTCCCTGTTTAGACCTCAACCGTGGGCTCAGTCGTGCTGAAAAGAACCAGCAAGAAGATCTAAAGACATTGTGACCGTGTTATTAACAACAACAACTCTAATTGAATAATGAGTCAATAAAATGAGACTGCACTGCCAACCTGCCGCTTTGTCCTATCTTATGCCACATAATGGGTGACAGGAAAACGTCACAACATTTACCCTGGGACAACCAATCTTTTTTTTTTTTTTTTGTCATTTAGCAGACGCTCTTATCCAGAGCGACTTAGGGTTAAGTGCCTTGCTCAAGGGCACATCGACAGATTTTTCACCTAGTCGGCTCGGGGATTAGAACCAGCGACTTTTTCGGTTACTGGCACAACGCTCTTAACCACTAAGCTACCTGCCGCCCTCAATCTATCTTTAAACAATACAAAATATACAGTAGTAGTAACTTCATACTGTTTGAAACATTGAAATAATAGTAGTAGTAATATAGTAGTAGTAATATACAGTAGTAGTAACTTCATACTGTGTGAAACCTTGAAATAATAGTAGTAGGAATATAGTAGTAGTAATATACAGTAGTAGTAACTTCATACTGTGTGAAACCTTGAAATAATAGTAGTAGGAATATAGTAGTAGTAATATACAGTAGTAGTAACTTCATACTGTGTGAAACCTTGAAATAATAGTAGTAGTAATATAGTAGTAGTAATATACAGTAGTAGTAACTTCAGACTGTTTGAAACGTGGAAATAATAGTCTTCATCAAGATTTGCTAGAAATATTCAAACCATATAACATCAAGATTAAGCAGTGTGTAGAACAGTATGTGGACATGAGTTTGATTCTCATTCCACCATGATAGATGTACATTGTTGAGTTTTAGTATTAAACATTAACAAGCAATCAACAGGTTTGTGCCTCAGTATTTAGTGTGTGCAACGAGTTTGATTCTCATTCCACCATGATAGATGTACATTGTTGAGTTTTAGTATTAAACATTAACAAGCAATCAACAGGTTTGTGCCTCAGTCTTATTTAGTGTGTGCATGCATACTGAATTGATAGCCATTAAGCTAGATAGACACAATAAAACGCTGGGCTGAGAAGAGGATGTCTCGGCTGAGTGAGTGAGTGCCCCTGGGTAAGCAGAGGACTATGCTATCCAACCCTTCCCCCCTTTGTAAACAAAGCTAGCGAGAATGATCCATTACCCAACCCCCCTTGCCCACCCCAGCGTCCCCACTTCCCGGGACTGGCTTCAGTACCCCCTACCGATCCGTCCAAAGAAGGAGGGTTACCTTAACCTCCCTCTCACTTTCCTATCATTAGTGATCAACTCAAATTGGAATACTTTTTTTTCTTCTCTCCCACACTTTTCAATCCTGGAAACTGTGAGGTGAAAAATACAGGATGACAAAGGATGACGTTACAAAACCTCTCAGAAAGGCTCTGAAAATTATGAGGAAATAAAGCATCCTCTACAGCTTAAATAAAAAGCCGCCTTTATAGTAGATCAATTTGTAAGTCGCTCTGGATAAGAGCGTCTGCTAAATGACTTAAATGTTAAATCCGTCTTTCGTCGTACAGTTGACAGACAAAGTCTATGCATTGTTCCTGAATTGAATTCCTGTTGGAGTTTAACCAAAACTCCAGTAAAAGACCCTTGAACTGAGTATCTCTATACACAGGACATCCTATGCATAGCTTCTACTTCCTCTTTCTGTCTTTCTGTTGTGGTTTGTATCTCAAGAGAGACGAACATGTTTTCATAATTCTTCATCTGCAATGATTCTTCACATACAGTTTCTCCTTTACACTTCATCACATTCGCCTTTTCATTGCAAGATACAAATCTCCGGTAGGCCTACAGCATCGATAGTCTCCAGTGTCTTGACTTCATTTGTTTAGTGGCAAAGGAAGGGTAAGCGTGAGGGATAGGAATCTCCTCCATTGTCTTGAGGTCTGTAGAGGCAGGGAGGGAGTATCAGGAGAGACCGGGGTGAGGTTACTGATCTAGAGGGTGGAGCTAATTGGTAGAGCCCCTTCCTTCCCCCCCCCATTGAAGACCTTTTCATGTGCAATGAGTTGAGACATTCATATTAAACTATTCCCCTTGGGGTATGCTAATAGACTTCACAGAGGCTTGCAATACCTCTAGCTACGCACTAGCTACGCATATTCTCAACAAAGACGAAAAACACAGGGTTTTTTATTTTATTTGCACCTTATTTGACAGAGTAAACACTGTTTTTGATTCCCTTCCCCAATGTACTTCTCCTGCACATAGCTGTAATCATTGTTCAGTTGGAGTGGATGTAGTTGGTCCACTTGGATTTCAACAGTTGAGGCTACTAGGTGGTTGCAATGTGCAACATTTTCATTTTAGGTAAAGAGATCCACTGCCTTCAAGCAGTTAAAAACACAAGTACTAAAAAACATGAGCAAAAAAAAAAAAGACAGTGACCTTTATAACATAACAATAAGATGGCGGTGTGATTGAAAGTAGTCTTAACTAAAGTGACCAATCAACCGTTAGCCTACGTATCACACAAGATACAGTACATTGGTCTTTGATGGTGCGTTGAACTCTTCATCTATTCAAACATAAAAACACACACACAGTTAACAAAAAAACACAAGATAAAAAATAAAGTTGTATAAATGTACATACATTTGGTCTAATTAAACAAGTGGCAAATAACAAACATAGGTTGCACTATATATTGAGGTAGGTCAAAGTTAAGGTATGCAGGATAATGGTTTTGTTATCTGAGACCCAGTAAACTAGAGGCCCATGGCCCCTTCATGCCATCTGTCAACAGTAGTGGAAGCAGACAGACATTGTGGTCAGGATGTGATCAGTGGAAAATATTTCATAACTCTAGAACTACTCACCCCATCAAACCTGAGATATGGACACTGGACCCACATGTACTTGGCTAACGGTAACAGCATGTCTGGCCTGCCTGGATTTAGATGTCACTATATGACAGCGTCATTGAATCACGACACAGACGTCAAGCTCATATGTCGCGTTCACATTCTAGTCGGAACTAGGAAACTGAAATGTCCCACTTGCTAACTGGTCGTAGTTATACACGTGACGCATTCAACAAGTTAGCAAGTCGGACATTTCTGAATTCCGACTAGCATGTGAATGTGGCAATATATCCCATGTAAGCATCAAAGAAAAAAGTTGATGCCATTGTTAAGCCTGAGTCATAAACTCTGTTACTTTACTTCTGTTCTTCAATGTATGAGATATTCCTACTGACATTTAGTGGGTTGTATCCAAGGTAACCAATAATCACAAAACAGCTTAAAGTCAACTATCATTTTGCTAATTTTATAGGATATATCATGTTTGGTGGCACTCTATCCATCTGACCCAGCAAGGTCAATTTTACAGCAGGTTTGTTGCCGTAAAACGACACACCCCTGGAGAGTGACTGAGGTAGGACATCAGTAGTTGTATGTGCAAATCAAATCAAACGTTTATTGGTCACATACACAGATTTGTAGTTGTTATCGCAGGTGTAACGAAATACTTGTGTTTCTAGCTCCAACAGGGCAGTAATACACACCAATAAGATGGATGTCAGTGGTACTGAACCACAAGATATCACCTGTAGCAACCTTCTCATGGCGTCATTAACTGCTCAGGGTCTTTGTGGCAATGAGAGCAACAGTAGCTGTTTCAGTGAGGGTTGTGTGACTTTCATTGGGTTTCAGTCAAAGACACACATATTAAATGGTACCAGTCAGGAGAATTTACATGACAACTGAGGAGAAAGCGTGGCTTTGCCCCCCCCTGGAGACTAGCTAGTAAAGTATCACTTCCTCCCCTGTGGTTTGATGTGCTGAGAGGACAGATGTGTCTGTTCCCCTGGATACCATGGTTCCATGCCTGCAGTGGCACCAGAACAGCAAAACAAGATGGAGTCTACCCTACACCAGCCAAGGGCAAAGAATAGATCAGAAATCTCAGTGAGACATCTCTCCTACATTACATTTTACATTACGCACGTCTTTAACCAGTAGAAGTTAAAAACAACATAAAAAAAGGAATTAATTGACACAGCTGTTAAATAAAGCTTTTTTTTTTTTTCAAGTAATCCATCAAACACCCTGATATATTGTATTGTTCATGTAAACCAATGGTTCTCAAACCTCTCCTCAGGGACCCCCCAGCTGTTCTATGTATTTGATTTATTCCAGATAATCATCAAGCCCTCGAATAGGTGAATCAGGTGAGTTAGTTCAGAGTTACAACAAAATGGTGAAATGTCTGGGGGTCCCTGAGGAGAAGTTTGACAACCACTGATCTAAACAATACCAAGGACAGACCACTTTCATGATCATAAAGCCATCATTTTGTTTTAAGGCAGCAGCATTGAAAGATACCAGTATAAAAAAAACAGCTGTCCCACATTGAGAGAAATGGTGTGGAAGTAACCACAGTTGATAGCAGAATCACAGTGGCCAAACCAGCCTCACAGCCTCATAGATCAAGCAGTCATGTGAACAGTACATACTGTATGTAAACACCTCATCACAAATATTGTGTCATTCCAAATAGTTAGGACCTTTGTTAGGTCAATACCTCAGCAATATCTGCGTTGACGTTGCTTCTTCCTTTTGGTTTCCTTCGACCTTGGTGGATGAGGTCAGGACGGGTGGAGAAGGACAGGGAGTCAGGACAGGTGGAGAAGGACAGGGAGTCAGGACAGGTGGAGAAGGACAGGGAGTCAGGACAGGTGGAGGAGGACAGGGAGTCAGGACAGGTGGAGAAGGACAGGGAGTCAGGACAGGTGGAGAAGGACAGGGAGTCAGGACAGGTGGAGAAGGACAGGGAGTCAGGACAGGTGGAGAAGGACAGGGAGTCAGGACAGGTGGAGGAGGACAGGGAGTCAGGACAGGTGGAGGAGGACAGGGAGTCAGGACAGGTGGAGGAGGACAGGGAGTCAGGACAGGTGGAGGAGGACAGGGAGTCAGGACAGGTGGAGAAGGACAGGGAGTCAGGACAGGTGGAGGAGGACAGGGAGTCAGGACAGGTGGCGGACACTGACTGGCCCAGGTTCAGTTTGTCCTCCCTCTCCTGGCGTCACCTGTCGAAGCAGCCTGCTGTGAAGGTGTGATGGGAGCCCAGGTAGCCTCCCCCGTAGGACAGGCCGAGACAGTGACGGGGCTCTGCAGCAAGGGCCACTTGCATGGAGATGGGTCCCTGGAGGGGCAGGGAGGAGCCCAGTCCTGAGGTCAGGCTGGGGAAGGAGGGGAAGGCTCCCTGAGAAACCGAGCCTGAAAGGAGCCCTGTGTGGTGGGACTGGAGGTAGTCCCGAGACCCAACAGGGCCCAGAGCCTGGGACTCGCCTAGCATGTGCAGATGGGAAACGGAAGTGGAGTGCTGGGTGAGGTGCTGCTGGTAGACGCCTGTCTGGAAGAGCAGCTGCTGGGATCCAGAAGAGGGTTGTATCAGGGTGGAGCAGGAGACTGTGGAGGGTGAGGGATGGGCCTGGGGTTGGAGAGGGCTCTGGCCAGACGGAGAGTTGGACTTGGATTTGTTGGCCTGTTTCACATCGTTGTCATGGGCACTAGAGAGAGGAAAACAGTGCAAATCATTACTTGACGACCTTTAGCTGATGGACATAAACATCAATATACTAAGGGTCAATGGTATTGACAGTATGAAAAAGCTGAAGAACATTAACCCACCACAACATGAGAAAAATGAAGGAAAAGTGCATACATGGGAAGAACACAACAAACAGGAAAACTGCTCACTTTAGAAATGGCAGACGATAAAGGACGTTTAGGCAGATGGCAGTCGGCATGGTTCGTGGTCAGATGAATGTGTGTGTACAGCACGTTATGTAAAGCAGCAGTACAGTCTTACAGCAGCATCAGCTTCATGCACTGGGTGAGGTGGTCCCAGGAGTATCCGGTGAGCAGGTGGAGGACGGTGGTCCAGCTGGGGGTGATCTGGAGACAGATGCGGGACGCCGCGATGCAGGCTGCTGCCACCTGGGACGGCCGGAAGCCCAGGAAGGCATGGTCTGGGACACAGAGACACAGACAGAGACAGAGACACACACAGACCATCAGTATCAGTCACATATACTCAACAACGAATGGCCCCACTAAAGAGAAAATCTGTCTTGCCCATTAAGACCACACACTGCTGTCACTCTGTCACTCACTATAGACTTCCACTCCTAATCTCATCCTCACCTTGCAGTGAGACTTCTAGGAAGTAGTGTGTGTATTTGTCCATGAAGGCTTTGGTCTTGTTGAGGGAGGAGAGAGGCCAGCCGTTGTGCAGGTCTCCGTCCTGTACAGCAGCATGGAGGTAGTAGTCTATGAAGTGGGCCGGCGTGGGCATGCACAGGTTCCAGCCAAACGTCTCTAAGAGGAGGAGCTCCATCTTGACCAGGTCCTTCTTGCCCAGGGACAGGTTCAGACTGCACATGAAGCCCAGAGAGTTGAGCTGCTCCAGCTTCGGCACACGGTCCTCCTTCTCCTCAAACTTACCTGGAGTGGAAACAGTGTTATGGCAAGTGGTAGAACAGATGTCGTGGGTGGAGTGAGAAAATACTGAGTGTGCTCAAGAGAGTGCTTATAGATGTACAATTCCTAACATAATACAACCAATTCTATCCACAATTTCTAATTTCCTTGAAAGATATGCAACATTCACTGAAAGGCCAAACAGTACCTATATTCTTTATTTATATTTTTACAAGAGGGATCTTTCGAACGCTTTTCCGTTTGCAACATCATCCCCACAGCCCTTCCTCTCTCAGGGAGGTGCAGGGATAATCATTGTTCCACAACAGAAATCAGAAACAGCCCTAAACAATGAGACATCTCAATCTAAAACACGAATGTTGTCACTGTCCCTGCAACACTGTCCAAGGCAACTGTTCCCTGTTAGTCATAACGCCTACATCCTGATTCTCAGTCTATTCTCTAGAAGTCACCATTGTGATTCTTCTCTTGAACAACTTTAATTACTATGCAGGCCAGGGTTGTGGGTAACGCAGGCCTTCTGGTTTTTACACGTGATAAGTTCCCTTGCTGACTGACAGAGGTCTAGGGGGCCGGAGTGGGAGGGCCTCATACACACAGCTCACACTAAACACAATGCCTCAGACTAACCACACAGCTCACATTAAACACAATTCCTCAGACTAACCACACAGCTCACATTAAACACAATGCCTCAGACTAACCACACAGCTACAGACAATTATGATTCAAAAACATAAAGCATGTGTAGTGGAAAACATTTAAATGCAGCTTTCTGTACAATAGCCGGGGCAAACAACCAAAATCTGCCCTTGTAAAGGAAGGATATTATAACTGAAGTACTCGTCACTACGTGTTCTAGGGGTAGTCTTTCTACTGCTCCATCTTTACCGGCTCTACTGTTAGTTGCTGTTTGCTTACTGGCTAGGAGGAGACAGGAGAGGGCAATGACGTAGAGCTGGCGGACTGCCACATCGTAGTTGTCCATAAACAGGTCCAGGAGGTAGACGGCCAGATGGCGAGCCGCCGGGCAAAGCTGGTAGCGGTTACTGAGGACAGCCAGCAGGTCCGAAAAATACCGTCGCATCCCGATCTGAGGGGAGTGGGCCTTGTAGGTGGGCAACTTCAGCTCCTAAGCAGAGGAAACAAGACAAATGAAAGGGACTAAAAACATTACAGACTGCACAGTTGAATTGAGTATACAGAAAACAAACAGCACTGTGTCAGGAGGCTTGTCAGCTTCTAGCTCTCACAGTCTCACGTCAGCATTAGACGTTCATCCATGTTTCTCAAACGTCAAATTTCTAAGTGTTTAAGGTTAAGTTTAGGCATTAACTCCGTATTGTTAAGGTTAGGGTTATGTTTAAGCATCAACTCCATATTCGTAAGGTTAGGCATTAACTCTGAATGGTTAAGGTTTGGGATAGGCTTAAAACAAAAATATCAAAAAACAACTTTCTATCGCTGGATTCAAAGGAAGATGCTTACGCCTTCCGTCATCCCCTTCCACAAAGCCCTAGCAAAACTGAAACCTACTTGAAGGTAACAGCACTCACTGTTGCCCCTAGTGGCCGGTTTCCACGTCATCTCCCGATGTCCTCAGACATGGATGGACGTCGAATACTGACTTGCATCACGGGTGACCTGGCCGATGGAAGAGCATGTGCCAAGGCTCCACTTTAAAATGTGAAGAAATGCCAAGAAATTGCAGCCCATTCTGGACCATGGGCCTAAAAGATTATTAAATATATTATGAGTTAGTTTGATATTTTTTGGAACTAAGAGATTTGTTTTTTTCCAATGCCCTCCAGACCCGTCGCCAGCTATAAAAGCCTCTTCTTCACGTAAATTGTTAGCGTTAATGTTGGAGGGAAATGAAATATTAAAATAACCCACTACCCTTTATTAAATATGTTATGGATCATTTATAAATATGCATCCCACAGACATCCATGTGAACAACCGCTCCTATTTCAGACCTGGAAACACAGACATAAATATCTCTATTTAATGCTGTGTCTGGCAAGGTCACTGTTGCTAGGCAAAGGAAGACACAGAGGATCCAAATGCAACTCTTTCATATATCTTCCATCTACAGTACCAGTCAAAGGTTTTAGAACACCTACTCATTCAAGGGTTTTTCTTTATTTTTACTATTTTCTACATTGTAGAATAATAGTGAAGACATTAAAACTATGAAATAACACATATGGAATCATGTATTAACCAAAAAGTGTTAAACAAATCAAAATATATTTTGTATTTGAGATTATTCAAATAGTCACCCTTTGCCTTGATGACAGCTTTGCACACTCTTGGCATTCTCTCAACCAGCTTCATGAGGTAGTCACCTGGAATGCATTTCAATTAACAGGTGTGCCTTCTTAAAAGTTAATTTGTGCAATTTCTTTCCTTCTTAATGCGTTTGAGCCAATCAGTTGTGTTGTGACAAGGTGGGGGGGGGTATACAGAAGATAGCCCTATTTGGTAAAATACCATATCCATATTATGGCAAGAACAGCTCAAATAAGCAAAGAGAAATGACAGCCCATCATTACTTTAAGACATGAAGGTCAGTCAATACGGAAAATGTCAAGAACTTTGAAGGTTTCGTCAAGTGCAGTCGCTAAAACCATCAAGCGCTATGATGAAACTGGCTCTCATGAGGACCGCCACAGGAATGGAAGATCCAGAGTGACCTCTGCTGCAGAGGATAAGTTCATTAGAGTTACCAGCCTCATAAATTGCAGCCCAAATAAATGCTTCACAGAGCTCAAGTCACAGACACATCTCAACATCAACTGTTCAGAGGGGACTGTGTGACTCAGGCCTTACTAAAGGACACCAATAAGAAGAAGAGTGGTCCTCTGTAGCTCAGCTGGTAGAGCACGGCGCTTGTAACGCCAAGGTAGTGGGTTCGATCCCCGGGACCACCCATACACAAAAAAAATTATGCACGCATGACTGTAAGTTGCTTTGGATAAAAGCGGCTGCTAAATGGCATATTATTATTATTATTATTATTATAAGAGACCTGCTTGGGCCAAGAAACACGAGCAATGGACATTAGACCGGTGGATATTTGTCCTTTGGTCTGCAGTCCAAATTTGAGATTTTTGGTTCCAATGCCGTGTCTTTGTGAGACGCGGTGTGGGTGAACAGATGATCTCCACATGTGTATTTCCCACCGTAAAGCGTGGAGGAGGTGGTGTTATGGTGTGGGGGTGCTTTGCTGGTGACACTGTCTGTGATTTATTTAGAATTCAAGGCACACTTAACCAGCATGGCTACCACAGCATTCTGCAGCGATATGCCATCCCATCTGGTTTGGGCTTAGTGGGACTATCATTTGTTTTTCAACAGGACAATGACCCAACACACCTCCAGGCTGTGTAAGGGCTATTTTACCAAGGAGAGTGATGGAGTGCTGCATCAGATGACCTGGCCTCCACAATCCCCTGACCTCAACCAAATTGAGATGATTTGGGATGAGTCGGACCGCAGAGTGAAAGAAAAGCAGCCAACAAGTGCTCAGCATATGTGGGAACTCCTTCAAGACTGTTGGAAAAAACATTCCAGGTGAAGCTGGTTGAGAGAATGCAATGGACATTAGACATATGTGTTATTTCATAGTTTTGAAGAATCTCAAATATAAAATATATTTTGACTTGTTTAACACTTTTTTGGTTACTACATGATTCCATATGTCTTATTTCATAGTTTTGATGTCTTCACTATTATTCTACAATGTAGAAAATAGTACAAATAAAGAATAACCCTTGAATGAGTAGGTGTGTCCAAACTTTTGACTGGTACTGTATACATAGCTCATATTCAAGGAGTCTACTGTGAGTCTCCCATGGTTGTGCAAGCCCAGCCAGCCAGGCCATCTGGCTCCCTGTGGGTGAGGGGCTTGGGCCTGACCCTCTGAACACAGCCTTTTGTGGAGCACGGCTTTAATTTAGGGAACTCTACAGCTGCTTCTTGATCAGCTGAAGGCATGGTCTTGGTATTCTGCAACACGCCGTTCCAATTGGGTCAACATTCTCCTGTCTTCTAGGGTTGGGCGATATTTGCGGAGACCTCTTCTATGATATACTACTCCAAATATCGAGATATCCAATATAATCGTTTTGCACCATTAATGACTAGATAATTCTAGACTGGGCAATTTTTGTCATCTTATTTACGATATTATAGTCACATTCTCATTAAATAATCTTAGTATGTAATATTAGTTCTGATATTTCTTAATTTCGATTTTTTGGGATTTGTGCATATTGTTTTGAATTGTTAGGTATTACTGCACTGTTGGAGCTAGAAACATAAGCATTTCGCTGCACCTTCGATAATATATGTTTACGCGACCAATACAATGGTCCAAAAGGCTTCTTAACAGCTTCTACCCCCAAGCCATAAGACTCCTGAACAGCTAATCATGGCTACCCAGACTATTTGCATTGTCCGCCCCACCCCACCCCCTCTGTTACGCTCCTGCTACTCTGTTTATTATCTATGCATAGTCACTTTAACTCTACCCACATGTACATATTACCTCAATTACCTCGATTAACCGGTGCACCCGGACATTGACTCGGTACCGGTACCCCCTGTATATAGCCTCCCTACTGTTATTTTACTACTGCTCTTTAATTATTTGCTATTTTTAACTTATCTATTTTTTTCTTAAAACTGCATTGTTGGTTAAGGGCTTGTAAGTAAGCATTTCACTCTAAGGTCTACACCTGTTGTATTCGGCTCATGTGGCAAATAAAATTTGATTTGTATGCCGAAGAAATAAGGCTTAGTTAATACATTTAGACTTATTTTTCAACATATCCTAACTGATAAAACTGCACCGTTTTTATTCGTAAAAGTTCAAATAAAATAAAATGTTATTTGTCACATGCGCCGAATACAATGCTTACTTACAAGCCCTTAACCAACAATGCAGTTAAGAAAAATATTTACTAAATAAAATATAAAATAAAAAAGAGCAACAATAAAATAACAATAATAGAGCATAGTCTTGCACATCACAGTATAAGGTAAAGGGGCATACCTAGTCAGTTGTACAACTGAATGCATTCAACTGAAATGTGTCTTCCGCATTTAAACCAACCCCTCTGAATCAGAGAGGTGCGGGGGGCTGCCTCATATATAGTCTTGCACTTCACAATATATATCGTCAATGTCAAATATTACGATATTGTCACAATCCTATTCCGCAACACGCAGTTCAAATTCGGTCAACATTCTCCTGTGCAGGATTCTCAGTATTTAATTTTCTCCGGGAGGAATTTCTCTAGGGCAGTAGGTGACATGTCTGAAAGATTCTGAAGGGTTTGATAACATCACACTTACAGGAAATTCTTGTCAAATTGTGAAATGGAATATATTAATGAATTGGTAATTCAAAATCGCTAATATTATTGTTCCACTTTCAATTGTTTTACTTCAACCTTGTGAACTGCATTATTGTGAAAATGCAATAAGCAGAGTGGCAATAAACTAAGCATACAACCTGGCAGAAGAAAACTGTTAGTCTGTCTTTATACAGAGAAGCGCTATTAATACATTCAACAGCCTTTGGTGAGCAGAGAGGCCTCCATAGCAACGGTCTGTGGGAAATAATGGTTTGAGCCCTTTATCATACAGTCACCCTGGAGATGCATCAAAGCCCTCGTCAAAAACCATCCTTGTGAAAAGTACCTGGTTTAGCTCTAATGCATCCATTTGCTGAAATATTTATTCCATGAAGCAAATAGGTTTTGCCTGTCAAATTCTATATCTGAATAGCTGCTGATGAAATCAGATCTCTCCAGTAGTTGCCAGCTTGTAAATGGTTTCAAACTAGGACAAGGGTGGTGCAAGTGTAAACTTCAAAGTTCTGGAGATTGCATTCCTTCACGATGACCAAGTAATGTCAGCATAAAGTCGCGCATCACTTCAGCCCCATTATCTTTCGTTGCACTTCAGCCCCATTATCTAGCTACTGGGTAACAGGCAGGACAAGAGGGACTTCAGATCTAACCAGGGCCGCAACTTTGGTTTTAGAAGTGGGGGGGGACATTATTATTTTTTAATCCAGGCGGATAAACACTCCAAACAGCCTACCTGACGCTCGGAGGAGTAAGCATGGTCCTAAAGCACACCGTTGCCTCATTTTGTATCACATTCCAATGATAAAACTGGGTGTGAGGGAGGCAAATATGCCCCCGTCCCCAGTGAAAGTTGCACCCCTGGATCTAACAACTGAGTCTTTGGCAAGAGCGCAATATCCTAAAATCAAACGCTCCACATACAGCCAAAAAGCTTCCACTTAGCAGCTCCTACAGGAAGTGGGCATGATATACAGCCGGGCCATAAACAGGAGACAAACATATACAGCCAGACAGAGCCAACAGGCTGAGTAGAGTCGTCAGGTCCTCCGTGCTCTCTAATCCAGTCAACACAGACCATTACAGTCTGCCCTGAACGAACCTCCTCCACCCATTAACCCACTTCACAGATCTTCTCTCGGCTCAGCTGGCTGCATCAGCTCATTTGCCCAGCATTTGCACACAATAGCGCGGCCAATTTGACTAATTACAATTTAAGATGACCGATCAATACATCTCTATTTGAAGCCTTCTTTGGGTTTATTATTGTTCGCAAACATTAATTGTCAATCCCTGATGGATGGTGGAAATCCTGAACTACAAAATATAATGGGTCAGATAAGTGCATCTATATGTCTTATTGAAATACATAAGATGGCTGCGTTTAGACAGCCACCACAAATCTGATATTTTTTTCAGATCTGAAAAATATCTGATGTGAAAAGATCTGGGCTGCCTGTCTAAACGCAGCCAATTGTTACCCTGGCTGTGGCAGAGGTTCTGCTAACCAGACAGGGAAACCACCTCAAGCGTTATTGTTTAAGCCCAAACCTCAGGGGGGACATTTCACACCTCAGCATCAAAGACAGTAAGTAGAACAGGAATAGATGAACTCACTACTGTCAAATAAAATACACACACGTCATTTACTGATGGTATTTGTGTAATTCAACTAAGCACCTTGTTTGTTGTGGATAAAAACGATTAGGCTGCAAGAGACATCAGAGAATCAGAATGAGACGTTCACCTTTATTCGTAGAGACTGGTGGATGTCTGCAGCGAGCTGGCTCGTCCACCACTGCCTCTCCTGCTCCATCTTGCCAGTGGTGAGTTGTGCCCACTGTCCACCCTGAGGAAAACATCAAAACAGTGCCAAGAAACACATTAGATCCCCGTCTGATCTACATCAATGATATCATCTCATTCATCAAGGCAAACTTTGGGAAACTGACAGGTTTAACTTGAACTGCTGTATGATTTAACGTGTTGCAGCAAAATAATGCACTTAAACTGACTTCTCAGATTTTGTTCAGTTTAAGTAGGGTCGCCAGCCTAGTGTGCCCTAGTATGTGAGCACTCATTGGAGTTCAGATACCAGATGCTATAGCGTATTGCTTATTGTACAACAGTTTTCATTACACTTTGGTCATTCAATAAATATGTAGGCTAGCCTACAACCCAGAAATGTAATTTAAAAAGCGAGCACCTCACATTCGCCATCTGTATTGCACAAGGCATGCTCATGTTCGGATAGATTGTTTATATTCGTGCACATAAATTGCTACTAATCTACCACGCGTGGCAATTCACCTCGCCGCACTAGAAAGTTATGGTGACCAATCGGATATTTCTGAGAATTATTCTACACATGAATGTACAACAGTATATACTGGAAAGAGGTTGGAATGGGTGACAACGTGCAAAGCTATTCACATGCTGGACTTGTAGGCTAGTATCCACTAAAACGTTACCTTTCAACCTGCTTTTACCACTGCAACACTCCCGAAGTCCCGACCCCTTTGTTTCAGACCAGCAGCATTCTGAGATTAAAATCTTCGCCGACAGTTTCCCTACACCTTTAAACACCTCCAACAACAGAAAAATAACAGAAAAATAATCAACTCCAAGTCTAATCGTCACAGATCCATGAACTCAAAGCCAAAGACTGGTATGTTGAGTTAGTTTTTTCTTCTCTCGACGCCCCTCTTTCACCCCGTTCCCGTCACCTCAATGGAACCTGGTCAGAAAACCACACGCTGTTCCCCCTGTTGGTACCGTGGAGGAAAACTTGAATGGGGAGGGTTTTGCATGTAAAGACAGCGCCCCCAGACAGCATTCAACTAAAATCAACTTCTGGTGGATATTCTATGTAACATCTATATTATACTTGTACATTATTACAGGATTTGAACTTCGTGTTTTATATTCCGGGAAGATCAGGGCAGGCCTATTTGAAATTACAGCATTAAGACTATTGTTTTTGAATGATGCATGATGGTGGTGCAGGTCCTATAGTCCTTCTGGACAAACTCATAATAATAATACTTTAAAATAATAATCTATAGCCTATATTTTGTGAACTAGAGAAATTACACCAAAACCATGTGTCAGTACAATCAGATCCACCATGTAGAACAATGGCATTGACCACAGTGTGATCCTTATGCAATCTCTCTGTTTGACCAACAGGTGGCAAGTGAACTCAAGTGCTAGATGTTTGCCATGTATCAATTTTCGTCAGCCTGGACCATAGAGAACGATAGAGGCCTCTAGTGGCCAAAAGGTCTTATTAGCATGGGCAGCGCCGTTGACGGCTTCCACCATTTTAATGTAGTCCAACTTCATTGGCTGATCCCTCCTGGTGACCCTGTTGGAGTCATGTCCAACCGGGTCATCAGGAGGGATCAGCCAATCGTGAAGAAGAAAATGGAGTACTTTAAAATGGAGATAGCCTCAATGATATTTTCAACCTCTCCCTGACCCAGTCTGTAATACCTACACGTTTCAAGCGAACGACCATAGTCCTGGTGCCCAAAAACGCCAAGGTAACCTGTTTAAATGACTATCGCCCTGTAGCTCTCACATCTGTAGCTCTCACATCTGTAGCCATGAAATGTTTTGAAAGGCTGGTCATGGCTCACATCAACACCATCATCCCAGACACCCTGGACCCACTCCAATTCGCATACCGCCCCAACAGATGATGCAATCTCTATTGCACTCCACACTGCCCGTTCCCACTTAGACAAGAGGAACACCAATGTGAGCATGCTGTTCATCGACTACAGCTCAGCGTTCGACACCATAGTTCCCTCCAAGCTCATCACTAAGCTAAGGACCCTGGGACTGAACACCTCCCTCTGCAACTGGATCCTGGACTTCCTGACGGGCCGCCCCCAGGTGGTGAGGGTAGGCAACAACACTTCCACCACGCTGATCCTCAACACTGGGGCCCCTCAGGGGTGCGTGCTCAGTCCCCTCCTGTACTCCCTGTTCACCCACGACTGAGTGGCCGCGCAAGTCTCCAACACCATCATTAAGTTTGCAGACTACACAACGGTGGTAGGCCTGATCACAGACGATGATGAGACAGCATATTAGGAGGAGGTCAGAGACCTGGCAGTGTGGTGCCAGGACAAAAACCTCTCCCTCAACGTCAGCAAGACAAAGGAGCTGATCGCAGACTACAGGAAATGGATGGCCGAGCGAGTCCGCCCCCATTCACATCGACAGGGCTGTAGTGGAGCAGGACATCACTAAGGATTTATCATGGTCCACACACACCAACACAGTCGTGAAGAGGGTACGACAAGGCCTCTTCCCCCTCAGGAGGCTGAAAAGATTTGGCATCAGATCGTCTAAAAGTTCTACAGCTGCACCACTGAGAGCATCTTGACTGGCTACATCACCGCCTGGTATGGCAACTGTTCGGCATCCGACCGCAAGGCGCTACAGAGGGTAGTGCGTAAGGCCCAGTACATCATTGGGGATAAGCTCCCTGCCATCCAGGACCTCTATACCAGGCGGTGTCAGAGGAAAACCCAAGTCATAGACTGTATTTTCTTTCTCTCTGCATTGTTGGGAAGGGCCCGCAAGTAAGCATTTCACTGTTGTTTACGAATGTGACAAATAACATTTGATTCAATTTTTTTATTTGATTTGAATGGCGCTGCCCATGCTGTCACAGATGCTATAATGGCACAGATACAAAGATGAGTCCTCTGTCTATCTCTATGGCCTGGACATCCTATACACTATACATAGAGACACTTTCATGCTATTGCTGAGTGAGTGGTCGTACGTGTGTATGTATGTGTGTTTGTTTTCTATGATTGCACAGTTGAATTATGTCTGCTGCCATTTAAGCCTAAACATTTATGATCTGTAGGGTTATGTTTCTTGCATTTTCCATTTGCTCAGGTTGGCATAATGTGATGCAATTTGTTCTCGTTTTATTTGTTTAGAAGAGTCAAAGAACGAAAAGAAAAGAAAAGAAAAGAAAGAAAGCAAACTAATAAAGGAGTGAAGAATGGAATAAAGAGCCTGTGCTTCACTACAGAGCCAGACTCCTACAGTCACCCCCAGACAGGGTAGAGCCTTACCACAGGGCCAGACTCCTACAGTCACCCCCAGACAGGGTAGAGCTTCACCACAGGGCCAGACTCCTACAGTCACCCCCAGACAGGGTAGAGCCTTACCACAGGGCCAGACTCCTACAGTCACCCCAGACAGGGTAGAGCCTTACCACAGGGCCAGACTCCTACAGTCACCCCAGACAGGGTAGAGCCTTACCACAGGAGGTTGGTGGCATCTTAATTGGGGAGAACGGACTCGTGGCAATGGCTGGAGCGGAATCAGTGGAATGGTATCAGATACAACAAACACATGGTTTCCATGGTTTCCATGTGTTCGATGCCATTCCATTTGCTCCGTTCCAGCCATTATTATGAGCCGTCCTCCCCTCAGCAGCCTCCACTGAGCCTTACACAAACACACAAGTTAGCACCGGAGTGTTACAGTTGATCCTTGTTGATCTGCAGGGACTGGGGCTATGCACACCACAGACATCTAGCAGAGTGGGCCTTTAGCACACAAAGCTATACCAGATAGCTTGTTAAAATGCACTGTATTCCATACCACTAAAATTGTTTGGAGCTGCCATGGGGTGGTAAATTTGACCGAATGTCCATTTCCTGTCCTCTTGGTATGGTAGTGTCCCAGCAGGGAAGTTTGGCACAGCACCATGACACATTTATCACAGGGGGGATTTCTCAACTGCTGAATCATGATCTCACAGCAGCGCTGTTACAACTGTGTCAATAAGACAAAACTTTCAAAAATGGTGTGAGCTTCATTCTAAAAGAATGAACACTTATACTCTAGCTGTCAAAGTTAATGTATGTATTAGGTGCCCACTATGTGCTCTTCTGTATAAATTAACTATTACAGAAACTAAAATCAACGTTTTATGGAACATTTTAGGTTCCTCCCATTAGCACTACATACAGTATCCCCACCATCAAATGACCATTCAACCATTCCATTCAGAGGAGCCATTTAGTGGCCACAGCCCTATCTCCCCGATGATAGTGTTATGGGGCTGCAGCGGCTATATTTAGCCAGCCCTGTGACTGTGAGTAAACTGGCCATGCTAGGTGGATTCCAGTGGCATGCTCAGCTCCAGCACAACCCATCCAGCACCTGCTGCTAGAGCTTACTGCCAGGCCGTCGTCTCAGCTCCCGCTGGGCCAGGACCACATTGGGCCAGGACCACATTGGGCCAGGCCAAACCTCAAAAAGAAGAGAAAAGAAGGTCATCCAGTCATCCATTTATTTTGGATGGTGAAGAGAAGGTTGGCGTAGTTAATTTTGTTTTGATTTCTATTTTTTGTTACATTTGAGATGTCTAGACATTTAAAGACCTGTGGTTCTTTGGTTTCAGGTTTTGTCGGAGGAGGATTTGACTGGAATTTTCTCCGGGCTGGGCTGTAGGATCTGTTCATAGGGCTCAGGCTGTGGTTCTCCTCACAGCTGACATGACATGATGGGGGGGGGCTTCTTCTGCCCCACATCAAGGTATCTGTAGATGTCTTACTGGAAGTGTCAGGTCAGGTCTCACTTTCACAGACACTTTCTTAAGCACTGCCATCTACAAACACACGGTTAGTGGAGAATACCTTCAAGTCAGATCAGATGCATGTGCAGGCCTTCAGAATCTCACTTAACTAATAACTACGAGGATTTTCACAAGACTGACAGAGGTTTCATAGATAATGTAGATGTTATACATTTATTGTTAAATACCTTGATACATTT